CCTCTGTGTTCAAGAAAGTCTTTAGCACTAACACCTTAGAAAGGAATATTAAAACTTCCTTCCCTTATTTAATCTCAATTTGTGGTATTTGTATACAGCTTGTGGCATACAATTTGTTTGTGTCTGTTATATTATGTTAGTCTGATTCAGCAAAGCAGTTAGCTGTGTCCTGCTAAATGCCTTGCTGAATCTGAGATCTGAGATGTTAAATAAATCCAAGAAAATCACTTATCAGGGATTCAATTCATTATTGAGAAAAAAATATTCTAGAAGAAAATTGCAGTCTATATTTTAGTCAGCCTCAAATTATAAAATGATTATCACAAAATAATGTCATAAACTTAATTGTGTTGTATCTTAGAACTTTGGACTTACAAGAACAAGAGCTCCTGCTACTTGGCTACCTGATACCAGTGCAATCTAAATCTTAATATGTTCTTTCAGTTACAATCGATAAATCTGATGCTGCCTGTGAACAAAGCTAAACCATTTTCTGTATGTTGTTAAACAAGAGTATGTCAGTTAGAGAGTTCACAGACCCAGGAAGGACAGAACCATACCATAATTTCCTGCTTTTGCCTGACCTAAAATTTATTGATGAAACAAGCATTTAGATAAAACAGAAAAAAAAAAAAATAGTCTCATCTGCCCAACATGGGCAATGATCCCCAGAGACTTTTCTCCTCTTTTTTTCTCAGGTCATCCCCTGGGACTTCCCCAGGAGCCTACCTACTCCTCCTGTCTCGCTTACTCAATTGCAAGTCATCCGTATCCATATGAGTCAAGCTTGCAGATATTTCAGAAAGACACCACAGCTAAAACTTTATTGGATGTTTTGTTTTGCTATTTTGTTTGTTTTTCTTGGTTATATTGATGCTTTCCAATGTTTTGATGCAGCTATATTTATTTAAATAACAAAATGGAGACGCCAGCTATAGCATCCCTTGCCCAGAACCTTTCCATTCAGTTGTATGTATTCTTATCCAGGATTGAGACTGAACTGTTTGAAACCCTGATCTCACATTTGCAAGAGCAACCCAATTTCAAGTTAAATTGTGTGTAGGTGAATGGGAGGTGAGCCATAAGGTCGGTTACAGCTCAGTGGAGATTACAACTAGTGTGAAGGGGGTTTTAAAATACCTACCCATGGTGTAAGTATGCACACATGGCTGGAAAAGGAATCGCAGCACCTTTATAAACACAATTTCACTGTTGTTTTTAGAGAAGATTTTTCTTGATTATAGCCCTCCTTTTTTTTACCTGTTGGTTTCTGGTCCCTACAGCCACCAAGTTACCTGTTATCTCTTGCCTTTCAGTCTCCTGCAGACCAGTGTAAGAAGATTCATGCAGGGGATGAGGTGATCCAGGTCAACCATCAAACTGTGGTAAGTACTTTGCAGATGCTGCAGTTTGTGCTAAATATTCCTTTAAGCAGTTAGTTTTATCTACTGTAAAATGTGGAAGCATTTGCTTGCCCTTTAATGAATAAAATGTGTTCAGGGAGTCTGAAAGCAATTGTTTGATTGATTAACAGACCCCTAAGGATGAATAAAAAATTCAATTTTTTGAGATGTGAGATTTTATTTAGAAGATCCATTCTCCCAACTGTAATTTTTACATTTTGGTTTTTGTTATAAATTACTTATTTATTTTAATACAATTACTTCATAAAAATATGTATTTTAAATTCCTTATCTGGAATTTATATCCAAAGTGCAGAAATGCTTTGCAATGATGTGCTAAATACAATTCCAGTTCAGTCCAACAAAATGCTATTTAAAACAAACAAGGTTAATGTGCTATCATTTGAAATCTCTAAACTAAAGTCCAAGGGACTTGTGGCAGGGCATTGTTGGTGCCTGCCACTTTAGGTCAGGGAAATGGCAGGTGCCTGCATGATGAGGGAGGCCATTTAATGCTCAGTTCTCTGTGCTGAGAGGAGGCAGCTGAGTCTGACCAGCAGGGGAAGAACATCTCCCTGCTGAGCTCTTTGGGCCAGGAACAACTTGGACATATGAGCTGGGGCGATGGGGATGGAGGAGGCCCCAGGTCCTGGGCATGACCTAAAACTGCACCCTGCCAGGCCTGGTGGGACTGCCAGATTCACGGCAGCCCCAGGAAATGCCAGGACCATGAACCTCCCTGGTGAAAGGAGGGTAGGGGGCACCTGATAACCTCCAGCCCCCGCACAGTCCTGGCTGGTGAAAGTCCAGACCTGGGAGAACTTTGAGAGGTCTGAGGCTCACTTTATGCAGTGGAGTTGTGAGGGAGAGAAGGCAAGCTGCTCACACCTGATTGGATGGACCCTCGCACTGGTCCATGCTGGGGCCAGGACCCAAGGGGGGCCACTGCAAGGGATGCCCAGAGCAAGAGGCTTGGGATTCCAACTGGCCTGAGGGTGAGGCCAGGTCCTAAGGGGGAGCCAAAGGTCCCAGAGAGGGGACCACAGCTTGAGGGGGAGAAGTATTACAGGTGAGCTTAGCTGCCTGGGATGCCATCTGCGAGGCATGGGTCCCAGGGCAGGGAAAGGCTTTGAACTGGGGATATCAGCCCTACTCATCGGGTCTTAAATGGGCAGCCTCCCACCTGAGTAGCATCATAATCATTTATCATCAAGACGTGGCAGGAAGAGAGGCAAGCAGTTAGCCCAAAAACAGGTGGGCGGGCCAACATCTAACCAACCCCGGGAAGACCCCCTGTTACAGCACTCTTATGCACATGCTTATTTGTAAGCTGATGAACAGTTACATTGAAATGAACAAAACAACTCATCTGCTTGATATTATGCAAATGCATGCGTGTGCGCAGGATTGGCATCTAAGAAATGACAGGACACAATGTACATGCATATAAACATGATCATCCTTGTTTTTCCTCAGTTTTATAGCTGTATAATGATTATACAAGTTATATAATGATATAACCCCATATATGGCAATGGCTTAACAGTTTTTCATTTTATATATAAATACAGCAATAATTTATCATAATATTCAGCATGTGCTGAATTCTGCCCCAATTTGCACAAACAGCTCCACTGACCAATATTTCATGGTTTTCAAGTTCTTGATCTCTGAAACTGAATGTTGTATTAATATTTAATGAATTTTAAATTGTAAGTGTCTATTGAAGAACCTTTCCCCTGAATATTAAATAGGTAAATTTAGGTGTTTGCTATATTTAGAAAAAATAATATACATAATTCCTTCATTTTTTTTCTACAAGGGTATCCAATGATGATTGAGCTCCCATGGTCACCAAAGTATGGGTGTAATCTAAGGATGCCTAGTTAAACTCACTACATCTCCTTTATCTTAGTTGTGCTGTGGAATCTATCATGAGTCTCTGCACACCTCCATGCCCTGTCCACATCACAATGTCATGTATTTCTATTATTATTATTATTGGAAGATCTGGAAGTGGCCTACCCCCAGGTCATGTTTTGCTTGGGCTCTCAATTGCCATACATATGCATAATATTATATATATATAAAAAATAAGCGAGGTTAGAATTGCCTTTGAAAATTTTATTTTTGGAGTTTCTAATTATTCTTTTTGTTCATGTGTGACATTTAACTGAATAAACCAAATGTTACAGTAATCCATTTTATATCTTTTATTGAATTCTACACACAGATTGCTAATTACAACAACTCATTGCAGTAATGGAAAGCAATCTATAGAACTATCAAAGCCTTTTGTCAATTAAATTTGAAGAGCTCAAGTTCTGTTCTACCAATTAAATCACTAGCCACAATAATGACATTTGTCAAATTGTAAATTACAGTAGTCTTAACTGTTCTCCAGATATGGTATTTTCCTTTCTAATTGGTTGTCCTTATGCCATTAGACAGATCTCTTTGAACTTGAAGGATGATGATTTTTCTGTGTGGTTTCCTGAAACAATAAATCTTTGGTTCCAGTTTAATTTCAATTTAAGTCACCAAAAAGTTGATAGTATCCAGTTTCAGTTCCTGGTCTGGGCCAAGAGACCTTCCCATGCTGGTTGTTACTATAAATTGCCATACCAAAGTCTCCTGTCCTCAGAACTCTACTATCAAGTCTCTTTTGATATGTTGACAAGTCAACATCATTCAAATGCCCAGATCTGAATTTCCAGGAGCTTGCAAATAGGTCCCTGTTCCTACAGTGAAGATGCTAAAAAAAAGCTAAATTTGGGCTGCTGCTTTGTTGTTTACCATACCATAAAAGTTTTCATTTTTTGTCTTTTCTACCACTTTTTTCATTCTTGTGATAATTTATTCATTTTTATTAAACATATACCTATTTGGAACAAAGTCCCACTAAAGATTCTTCATTCAAGATTCTGCTCTCTATGAGAAAATGCAATACATGCAGTCACATACTTCTGACTGCACCCAGTCTTCCCTCCTTTATTGTCTCGTATTTAAAAATACAAAAATATATCCACTTTTATTCTGACTTTGGAGAGCATGATCTCTATCAGAGCTGATAATACTGGAATGTCAGTTTAGTAGTGTGTATCATAAGTAATCAACCTATTGTACAGTTAGTACAGTGGCACTCTGTTTTCTAATTATTTAATAAATGTAATAGTTAATCAGTTAATTCTTTCAACAGAAACTAATAAGTAAAAGAACTAATAACCAAAAGAATAATTTTCAATAATGTGCAGAGTGAAATCTCTCTACCACTTATTTCATACATAAATATTGAGCTCTAAAGTCGTCTTCTGTGTTTCATTGATGTCAAATTTTGCCTGATTGGTAGTTTCAAGTTCTTCTCTAAACAACAATTGCTTTTCCTGAAAATGCGGAAACTTAACCTCAGCACTTTTTTTCTTCTAAAATTTTACACGGATTCTAACACCAATGCTTTTCCACCACTAGTAGCAACAATCATTAATAATTATTCATAATTTATAACAGCTATTCATAATTCTAACAGAGACAAGGAGCTGGTGAGTACAAGCACTTTAACTACCAAGGGCCAGTGTTGCTCTAAATTTCAACTGTGGATGAGAAGAGACTGATGACCAGTGAAACCATTCCAGTCACAACTTGAAAGCTTTATTAGGAGATGCAATAGCAAAGATTTATTTGTATCACTAAAGGCAATGCTTATGTAGTCTTGGATTCAGGGGGGGAAAAAAACAGTTGCATTGGCCAAGCTTCTCTGTGGTCCGGCCCCCGTTGAGCTTTAGCAAAGCCCAAGTTTTTTTTAACCTATCCCCAATATTTATAGTTGCTTGGTTTTAATAGTCTAATAAATGATATCTGAGTGGTTTATTTAAATTTCTTTTTTTTTCTGAAACGTTGAAAATTTTAGAACTGGTTTGAACCAGATCTCTTATGGACTTGTAAGGTGTCAATAAGTTGGGATTTACATCCTTGGAAAAGTAAAAGCGAGGGTTTCTTATCTCCTTTTTTTCTGCACTGTGGAATGCTGTTTAACACTGGCTTTTTACTTGTTTACCCTAGTTTATGGTCTTCTCTAACAAGGCTGCGCGCTGCTTTTTTTTTTTTTTTTTTTTTTTTTTTTTTTTTTTTACAAATAATCTAAGCATGTAAAAATGATCTATTATAGTACAATAACATTTAACACATTTGGTTACATCAATTACTACTTCTAATGTTTTAAGATAAAGCCATAATATAATGTAATGTCTCTTTTTACACTGTCTTCTTTCAGGCCTTGTGCTTTGTTTAATTACGATTTGTTAAACATGTTGATGTATCTTTTTGGGTTTGCTTTTTTTACTTTGCTGACCAAGCTAGCAGGCATCTGCAAAGGTTCACATTATGATAGCTCAGACACAGGCTTTGGGGCCTTCTGCTTAGCCACACTTTTGCAGCTTGTGATTGCTATGTTGGTTAAGCTTAGGTATGGCCTACATCAAACCGGAACCTGTAGCGTATTGGCATAGCTCTATTGTTTTCAGTGGTTTACACCAATGGAAACCCTGTCTCCATTTCAATTCATTCCACCCTGAACAGCGTTAGACATTATACTCATGGAAAGTTACAAGCTGTGTACACCAGAATAAAATGGATTCTACCAAATGTAGATCTACACCATTCTTAAGCAAACCTGGGACATTTGAGCAAAACCCTACTGCATATCTAGCCTTAACATTTTTCTTTATAATGTACAAAATTACCTGAATTGTGAAAACAATAACAGCTTAGATTTGGTTCTTCATATCTCACTATTGCTTTGGACACTAAATGGGTGCTAACTATAGATGCTTGATGTATTAATTATGAATAATATTTACTGTGAATGTAGTCCATTTTTAGTTGGTGAATTGTCATAATTTGATCCTAAGATCTGAAAAGTATTAATTTAGCTATTCATTGAATAATTTCAAGTATTAATGTTCAGCCTGTTGGTCTTGTAACCT